TATAGATTAGGCACAATGCAATGTATGCAGTATGGTTGGTTAATACTAGTTGCACTCATGGCTGCGTTTGCGCAGTCATAGAAACATTTATTAAAGTAAATGTTTTAAAGTACAATTATTACTTTAAATAAATTATCGAGTAATTACATACTTGCCTAATTAAAATTTAAACTAACGTTTAACGAACCAAAAACTATGTGCAATCACGTAAATTTTCACAACAAGCAATAATAATTAAACCATATCAGGCCAAGGTTCGATAAAAGGACGAACACGCGTATTGCGCTCGCGCATGTCTCATATTCGCATAACGCATGCGCCGGGCGTTGAACCCGCGATGCGCGATGACCGACTAACTATATTTGTATTTGGACCACAGTGGCACTATTGTAGACACTAGTCATGATTAAGTGCTGATTACAAGAACTTTTAAGATAAATCTAAATACAGTATGGTTTAAGAATAATATTTATTGTACGTATTAGGTATACTGTCTCGTTGGCCGAGTGGTCGCAAGTGTGAATAAGTGTCACCGGGTAAGGAGCTTTGAGTTCGATTCCCGGGCCGGGCAAAGTATATAACTCGGTTTTAAAAAAAATCTCCGTAGTAGCACGGAGTCTGGAAATGTGCCCGGTATATGGCAATAGGCTCACCCCCTATTACATGGGACTCATAACATAAATAGTAAAAAGTTGGTGTTACATTGTACATTGGCATTAAGTGCCGTAATGTACACCTCTGCTTACCACTTCGGAGATAAAAGGTGTGATGTTACGTATTAGGTATACTGAGGTGAATGTCTTGCATGTTATTGTTTTTATAACATAACATCACGCCTGTATTGTTTTTATATTGTACAGATAAGGTAACATGAGTAGTGGCTGAGATCATTCAGTTTCGTCGAAAGTTTTGTTTTTTTATTATTTTATCGTTATCTTTTAAACCAATTGTGTTGTTACATGTGTTTTACAATGAATGGACAGGTGACAATATATGAACATTACATCAGATTTGGGTTTGTGTTCCATTTATAATTTGTATTTGTATAGAGCCTATTTATTTATTACCTGGATTTGATTCTTAATTCGGGCTGAGTCTATTGACATTTAAGTAGTATATAATTTAGATCCAGGGAACCGAACTTGTACTGAAATGAAAATTCAGAAACCTTCTGTAACATCTTGATCAACTCAAAATGACATTTCAGGGCTCGTACACAACTGTGATGTGACGTCGCATCGCAAAAATGTGCGAGCTCCCTCTACGCATTGCAACAACTTGCGAATTGATTCGCATTGCGCATCAAAATGTTACCTTCCCAAAATCTTCTTTGTATCTTTTTCCTAAGCAATAATAGAAGTGCACACTTCTTTTTATAATCCATGTCACGACCTTATTTTGAATTAAAAATACATTTAGTAAGGTTGACGGACGTCGAAGGAATGGTCACCCAGGTAGATGCCTTGTCGCACGAAATAGCGTCGCAGCATTTCACATCGTAATTTTTTGCGTTGCGAATTCGCATCGCATTGCATAACACATAACATCACGCCTTTTATCCTCAAAGGGGTAAGCAGAGGTGCACATTATGCCGCTGTATAATGTAACACCCACTTTTCACTATTTATGTTATGAGTCCCGTGTAATAGGGGGTGAGCCTATTGCCATATACCGGGCACAATTCCAGACTCCGTGCTACTACTGAGATTTTTTTTTAAAACCCAGTAATACTTTGCCCGACCCGGGAATCGAACCCGAGACCCCTTGCCCGGCAGTCGCACTTGCGACCACTCGGCCAATGAGGCAGTCGTCGCATCGCATTGCATCGCAGTTTTATGTACGAGCTCTCAGATCGCTGTATCAGTATTACTGAATCACTAATATGCTTGAAAATAATCTTACGGAACAGAAAATAACTGTAACGTTATCATATTTACACTTTGCAGTGAAATTATAAGCAATGGCATTGAAGTAAGTACCTTATCTACAGGTGCCTGGATGTCTGTCATCCAATTAGCATAATCTGCAATCAAAGCAAAATATGAATTCTGACGCAATAATATGTAAATTAATTAATTGTATTGATGTGTGATTGATCACGTAGGAATTTTTGAAATATAAATAGACAAGGACATACAATTTGTCATAAGAAATAAATGAACTTTGTTCATAATGGTGTCGTGGTTGCTGTCGCTACTTCATTATTCCCAAATACTTTGAAGGAGCCGCAGATTCATTTGTAAGTTGGATAAAAATTTAATGCTTTTGAGTTTTAGAAAACTCACTGTATTTTAAGTCAAACCTTATCTATTTGCAGAGCGGCTCTCTCATTCATTCCACGTTATTCTTGTCACTGACAGATTTTCTGAATCGACAATTCCGTTTACAATATTCATCAATGGCATAATTTATGGCAATTGACAATGGGTAACTACTTAATAGTCTTACTAAACTACTAAATTTATAATATTAGACCAACATGTCTTTCTGACATTCGAAGGATGAAAGTTACGATAAACATTCTGTACATTGGACATTGCACCATTAACCTAAATCATGCAAAATGGCATCATGAACTTTGGACTTTCCACTGTTCCAACTCACTGAAAAAGAAAACGAAAAGAAACTCAATACAAACTGAGTCAGACTTACACGACAATTCTATTATTATATACTTTTATCGGTACATCGATAAGATTTGATTCATATATTATTGCTCACTGCGTTTTTCTCACGTACGCCAATGTATTGACTTATCTTCGAACGAAACGGAACTTTCATTAGTTGCGTTGCCAACCTATAAACAAAGCGAATTATATATCGATTATCCAATTACATGTTGAAACGTGTTGTAGGAACTTTATAGATTATTTTCATATTCATTATTAATTCATTTGTTTTTTAAGTTATATTATAAAGAAATGTAGGTACTTTCTTCTTCAGGTTGATTAAAGAGTTCATTGCCATGGTTGAAGAGTCGACATTGATCGTAGATTAACGCCAAAAACATACACGTCTATAATATTTTCGTGTAGATTTAAAAAATAATGGTAATAGTAAAATGTGGACTTCCTCTATATGTCGACTCACGGCGCGATTTTCTCCTGCGTCTTTCGCGGTTGCGGGCCGCAGCCTTTGTAGAATATATTCTACAAGTTCTAATATATTCTAGATAGGTACTTATCTAAAAAATCAAAGCAATTTTCACGGGACGTTTTACGCCCGTGGTAGTTGCGATTTTTTGCGGCTCTTGCTGCACCGGAGCGGCGGCTAGCACCCGCGCGCTCTGCGATCGGTTGGCGGATGATCGCAATGCGGCAGCCGGTCTGGAACTCAATTGTTGAACTGCCCGCCCGTCTTGTGATAATCAACCGCCAAATTTGCAGACGATAAACGCAACCGCGGCAGAAGCGGGACGGCAGAAAAATGCGGTCTTATAAGTTTTTAAAAAATCCGCCTCCATTCTTCGAAGAGATTGCGCCGTGGGTCCTAAGCCTTTGTTACGCGAAGGGAAGGTTTCGTTTTCTTAATTTACAATAGCAAATAGTGTCCAATATCGGTCATAAGTCTAGATTCAGATTCACATCAAATCAAATAAGAAACGAAGTCGGTTAATAACGTTTTGATCGACTTGTCTATCGGGGATTTTTTTTATTTCTTATCTATCAATAGGTTGTCTGTGTTTATTGACAAGGTCGTCATTTTTATATATTTTAGTTGTTTTTTAAGGGGGGAAATCATCGAATGACTGCTTCCGCCTAGGTGAGGCGGGAGGGAGTGTCAGACTCTTACTGACTAAAAACCACCCCGTTCCTTCTTCTGCGCTTCGAGCCGGAGCCTCGGTAACCCGTTAGGTTCTCCGCGACTCTGTAGTTTTAAGATTGTTAATGTATTGTAGATATTTTAGGTACTCTGTGGTTTCGCTTACAACCATTAGACGATAATACAGGTAACGTCAATCACGTGGAATTAATTGTGATAAGTTTAGGATAGGATTAAACTGACTGCTCCCATGATAGCTACTATCCTATAAAAACAACATTCTTTTACTAATCCATTTCATTGATAAAACCATATATCGTGGACTTTACATTATAATGCGGTTATCTGGTGTTTACGACCGGTAGAAAATACATATATTACTGATTTTACAAAATGAATAGATATTGTATTAAGTTTTGTACGATAATAATTGTGTGGTTTGGCCAGTCAAGGTGATGGACAAAGAGTAAGGGCACAAGAGATATTGTACTTCTTACGATAACTGAAATTGTATCTTGTTGGTTGTATAATAGATTTCTGAGTTGTACCTACGAAGTATTTTTAGAATTTTATCAAACATTATCATTAATACTTCCGCTTGAATTGTGTCTACAAGTTGGAATAATTAGTATTAGATAAATAAGTAATACTATAAAGTTGATATTTATGAGAACCAGTGCAATTCTATGTAATACCTTCGATTTGTCAAAAGAAAACGAAGTTTGTCAATGATTTTTTTATACTGGATAGGTCGACGTTTGACCACCATCTCGCCTGATGGTAAGCGATGATGTGGCCGACGATGGAGCACGCCTACCTATGAGCAACCTGTTCACTCGGGACTTGGAGACACTCAAGTTATATTTGTCGGGAAACAAATGATGCACTCAATTATTTAAAGAAATATTTTTACTATAAAAATATGCAGAAACTAGTCGCCTATAGTTTGGAAAATACAGAAAAGTAATTTAAAAATTACGATACATATTCAAGAAATAAAGAAAACCACGTCTGAGTTGTGTAATTTATTTTTGTGCTCATAAAACACAATGGTGTTACGTAAATTAAATCTAACTAAGTATGTATATCAAAATAATCTATAACTAATTGCTTACAAAAATAGAATTAGCTTACGTACATAATGGATTGATTCTTTCATTACACATGTGCATGACTTATGGACGAGTTAGAGGATTAAAAAGCTAAAAACCCACCAGAGATTATTATCATAAACATGCCTGAGAAGGTCGTTTCTTATCAACGCTTTATCAGTCACACGTCATAGCTGATACGACTTAATTTAGTATCCTAGATGATTACCTTTCATAATTATCAGTTCACGATTGTACCGCGATTACAAAACAAGCCTATGATAGCTAGTGAACAATAAAAAAAAGACATTTAAAAAAATAATTGGACGCCATTTTGTGACCTTTCGCGGTATAAAGTGAAGAAGTGACGTGAGTTTAAAAATAGAATCGGTTGTCAATTTTGTTTATTCGTTTATTTATTTATTAATAGTTTTTTGTGGCCAGTGCGTTCGTTTTATGACTAATGAGTTCGTGTTAGTTATCAATGTGTTGCAATTATAAAAAAAGGAAGAAAAGAAAAGTGACAGTTTATCAAGATGTGTTGTGAATTCAGTGAAAGTACTACGACTAGTACAACTAGTTCGGAAGGATCTAGCTGGATGGGGCGGAATATGACATTGAAAGAATGGACACGGTAACCGTATACCATAGGTGGAGGGATTTTACAGCATTCTATTTAGTTGAGAAGTTTTTAACATTGTTTTGGAGATCACTATTAACTATATTTTATAGAAAGTAATGCTGCTTCTGACTAATGACAAAAAATAGGTATTTCTGAGTAATTATCGATGACTTATTGATTTATCAGTGTTTACCGTTTCACAACTACGTCAATAAAATTCGACAATATTCGAAGTCTGAAGTTGTAGATAACGTTATGAAAAAATTATGAAAAACACATTTTCTTTACTTTCAGCACTTATAGACATTTTGGAAATCTATATTTTCTTTGATTATATTTGATTATATGTGAGGAAACCTGGACTTATAATTTCTAATTATAAGTTTGAAATCGCCAACCCGCATTGAGCAAGCGTGGTGATTAATGCTCTAACCTTCTCCGTGTGAGAAGAGGCTTTGCTCAGCAGTGGGCATTTAAAGGCTGTTGATGATATTTTCTTTTAATAATGCAAAAATGTTCCTATTTGTTTACGATGGAGCAATTTCCTAGTGTTACAAATAAATCCTCAAGAAAACCTTTATTCCCATAAACAATATCAATAGAACTTACAAGTCAGGAAGATTTCCAGTCGTGAGCATCGTGACTTGTATATAAACAACTTGAAAACATCATTACATAATTAACATACATAACCAATGTAACTTAACCTCTTATACCAACTAAACAGTTGGCTACGAGAGTTCCAGATATACTGGCCATTTAACCAGCATAACTTGACACCTCTTCCTAAAAGGATTCTTAGCAAAATATTATACAATGGAGGTCTATGTTTAATGGGTGTTAGTTTACATGTTTTAAATTATGTGCATACTTTATTTAAACAATAGTTTGTTAGGATGTCGGTACAGTAAATGGCGAAGCGAATAATAAGCTATAGACTAAAGATATTGCAAAATATGTATGTATTTGTGTTTGTGTCACTAGGACCTATGTATGGAGCATTTCCTTGTCAATATAATAGTGAGTGAAGCCCACTTTACTTACCTAAAATATTGAGGGAAGGTTTTGTTTCGTCTGTTTACGAAGAAGCTTATAAAATGGTTGCCTTTAAGGCAAGTTTAAAGATATAAAAGATATCTAAAGACGACGTTCTATTACGAATATGTAGGTTCAAAAACTAGGTTTAATACATAAATAAGAAAAATAACAATAAGATCTTTCTCTCTCCAATTTATACACAAATGCTTCAAATGATTCTACCGACGCAAAAAGCTACAAAAAAATCTTAACTCATCTAAGTTTACGAACAATCAAAACCATGAATGAATGTTACAACACATACATACAACATTCCGCCACTTTTCTCACTTTAAACCACATACATAATTACTATCTATCATCATTCAAACCCTATAATTAGACCAAATTATACGAACTACTTTTTATACGAACTTTATATCAATGGCATCTACCTCTATATGGTTCGCATAATCAGCTGTCAGTGTAGGAATGCCTTTATGTGACGTATAAGGGGTTGGATTAGGCAATGGGAAAGTTATTCAAGGCCAAGTTATGGGGAATGTTTGGTTAGTCTATTATGGATAGACAAGGCTGTATTTTTATATGGCAAGGTTATAGTATTATTTGTGGTATGGTGGGTTTATATAACTTGACAGAAAAACATACTTGAAAGATTCACAGAAATGTGGGTGTTGTAACGTAATATTTACACTTCTGCTTACCCCGTCAGGGATTAAAAGGCGTGACGTATGTATATTATAATATGTTTAACAATGATTGTGATCAATAACGCAATAGTTTGTTATCATCAATATCAAAAGGTGTCGTGGTGGCCCGGAGGTTTAAGAAGCCCACTTCTCATGCATGAGGGTGCGGGTTCGAAACCTACCAACTGCAAGTACCAATGTGACTTTTTCCGAGTTATATGTACTTTCTAAGATTATTTAGACACCACTGACAAACGGTGAAGGAAAAACATCGTGAGGAAACCTGAACTTATAATTTCTAATTATAAGTTTGAAATCGCCAACCCGCATTGAGCAAGCGTGGTGATTAATGCTCTAACCTTCTCCGTGTGAGAAGAGGCTTTGCTCAGCAGTGGGCATTTATAGGCTGTTGATGATGAATATCAAAAGTCGTCTCAATATTGAGTGAGTGTGCGCATTTTAATCACGAGATTATTCACATTATGACGAAAAATGAGAGAACGATATAGATGATATTCTTGCTAGAAAAAAATACACTAAAGTTCACTTTTAAAGGCCGAAATTCAACAAAAACTTCACCATATACGTATCTACTAATATATTCACGTTAAACAATACAGACGGAGTCGAGACGCGGGCGCAAGCGTATCAAATCGGCAAGTTTTCTCAAACGATTCGTTTTACTCGCAATACCGTTTACATAATTACATTGTTTATATTACTAAACTTTTGTTTAACACCATCGATAAGTTATGAATGGAGTGATCAGTTGGTGATAACGGCTACCTTAAGTAACTAAGATATACCTATAAGCTTAAATAAGATTTGTTCTGAAACTTAGACTCGGTTAAAACCGTTTTTATAGACTTACCGGAATTTATAGTTTACCTATTTTCATTTGGTTTTTATATTTCTCTGAAGGATTTTTGTCTAAGAAAAAAGTTTAAAAGTAGACTCTAATTGACAAATGAATCTCATGTTAATGATGGGCTAAACTTTTCTTTTATTTTTAACATCTCATTGACTTAAAACAGATGATCAAAAACAAATCAACTCTCTACAAACGTAAAATATTTTGTTTATGGCATAAGCCGGTAAACGAGCAGACGGACGCCCATGGATACCAGATGCGTTACCGGCCTTTTGGGGATTAGGAGTTTGAGGATCGTTGGGGATTCAGGGTTTGGGGAGATTGGAGAAGGGGAGGGTAATTGGGCCTCCAGCAAGATTACCGAAAAGTATCATGGTGATATTTACAGTCGTCCATTCGCTAACTACTCAATGACAACCGCAGATACTCACAAATTCTCACGGTGCGCAGGAGTGGATGTTGTAGTGGGCCTAATGTCACACTACAACTAAATAGTGAAAGTACGTAGTTTTTGTTTGATTGACGTTTGAAATCTTTTCAATACACACTGAAGAGGTCTCAAGGAGCATATATTAATTTGTTATTTTTACACTGATAGGTATATCTTAGTTACTTAAGTGTGTGTAGGTGTATGTTAAGTTTAACATTCAAGTTATAACTTGAATTTACTTAAAAGGATAATGTTGCAGAATTTTGCAGCTGCTCAGTAAAGTGTGAGATTTCTATATTGAAAACCACTTGTGTTAATTGCTGTGAGTCATAAATGTAAATGAATGATTTGTATTGCTTAATGAACATGTTATGTACATTTGTAAATGTTAAACTTATGACGTCCAGCAAAAAGAGAAATAAGGTATAAGGGAGTCATTCTGCAATGTTGAACTGCTCATATTTATTCGACCAAAAAGTATTTTATATATGGCAATATTTGAATGACAACATAAAAATTCATTTCAACAATTTATACGCAAATATTTTGTTACTGGGGTATTCATTAACGAATTATCAATCTTACTGTTTTAAGAATAAAGTTAGAAATTCATTAAAGAACGTCCATATCACATAATAGAGCCACTAGAAGTACCTTCAAGTGTCCTGTGTGTCTGTGTGCTCCACAACACAGACCAACCATGTCACAAGACTACAAAATCTTCAACAGTAAAGTATAATATAGCAATCCATACTAAAAACATTGCAACAATATAGTTTCTACATCACTACAATATATCTACTACTATTTACATTACTATAGCAATACTTCAAGTGATCTGTCACAATCAATACTCTCAATTTTGTTTTATCTGTCAATATGTATGGCAAAATATTTTGACAGACATACCGTCGTTAATGACGAAGTTGAAACATGTATTTGTAAATATAAAGAGTTGGTTTTGCAAGTTTAGTTAAAACAGTACCTATAGGAGAAAGTTTTTAATTTCATAACATAACATCACGCCTTTTTTCCCCAAAGGGGTAGGCAGAGGTGCACATTACGGCACTTAATGCCACTAAACAATGTAACACCAACTTTTCACTATTCATGTTATGAGTCCCATGTAATAGGGGGTGAGCCTATTGCCATATACCGGGCACAATTGCAGACTCCGTGCTACTTCTGAGATTTTTATAAAAACTCAGTAACATTTTGCTCGACCCGGGAATCGAACCCGAGACCCCTTGACTGGCAGTCGCACTTGCGACCACACAACCAATGAGGCAGTCATCATTTTTAATTTCCTCTTAACGCTATTCTTCATAGGCATTAAAGACTAATAAACAGGAAACCTAGACTTACGATTGTATTAATAAAGCAGAATGAACACAAAAGAAGTCGTGAACAGAAGCTAGTATCACAACGCAAGTAGTGTGTTAGGCTTATATGTCTAAACGACTGAATCCATTTTGATGAGCTCAAGTACAAAGATAGGGAAGATAGTTAAAGATTTCTTGTTTACCAATCTCGTCTGCATAATCATTTACTTCTGCTAATTACTATTAACGATTAAACAATAACCTTAATAAGTATACAAATATGAAGAGCGCTTCAACTTATTACACGGAAGGCTTCACATGTCAACGGCAGAGTTTCTCTAGGCACGTGAACAAACACTAGGGTCTTAGGTCAACAGGTCATAAGACAACTAGTAGCTTTCACAAACCCCCTGTATCATATCATACTGTATCATTGAAACAGTGGCTTAAAGAGCTGAGCTACTCAATAGATTGTTAAAGTTGACATTGTAAATAGTGTACAATATTAATTGCTGTGAATTATTCTATAATTTTGACAATAAGAATAATACTATAGTAATATAATAACAATACTATAGTATTTAAGAAACATTGGATTGGATCTTCAGAGGTTGCTATTGGGACGACGTGCTCCATCGTAGACAGCATCATCGCTTACCACC